CCCTGGGAGGCCGCCCTGCCCCGCGAGGAGGGGCGCGCAGTCTCTCCGGTCTCCTGCTCCGTCTCCTGCTCGGCGCGGCGAAGGCTGACGCCCTCTTTCTGCGTTTCCAGGCCCTTCCTCGGTTCAACCAGAAGGGAGACGTGTACAAGGCGCAGATCATGAACGTGAGCTGGTCGGCCGATCACAGAGTCATCGACGGGGCCACCATGTCGCGCTTCTCCAACCTGTGGAAGTCCTACTTGGAAAACCCAGCGTCCATGCTGCTGGACCTGAAGTGAAGACCGGACGTCCCCAGCTGTTGGAGCTTCCAAAGAGAATAGAGCCTCCCTGTGCCGCGCCCCGACAGCCCGTGTCGTGCCCGTTGTGTTGGATGATTAAATTCTGAGGCGCCACGCTTACCCCTGCTCTGATACCCTCTCCTGCAAGCGAGGAACAGTGGGCTGGTTCTTCCGCGGCTGTAGTCACATTGTATAGGTCATGGTGTTAGTTCTTAATGGTGCTGAGGCCGCTGTGTCAATGGATTGAAACTGCCAAGAACAACACAATTCGTGTCCCTGGAAGACAGGTAGCCATAGATAGTATCTGCCCTATTCCTTTCCTTCTCTTCTCTTAAACTGACTCAGAGAAACTTTTTGATTACACTAAGTAGGGAAAAGGACTGTGTACAAAAATACCTTCCATTCCCCACAGTAATGCAATTGCTGTATAAACTAAGTGCAATTATACTTTGGATCTAAGATACCCAGGGGTATGTTACTGTGCAAAGGTCATCGTCGTCAATGCCTTATTTATGTAAATTAGTATCTTTTAAAGGGGGAGATTGTAAGTGGATCAATGCCCAGTTACATTTTATAACCAGTGAAGAGAGAGAGCCATCCAGGCTCAGTGGTTGAGTGTCGACCTACGAGCCAGAAGGTCATGGTTCAACCCCAGTCAGGATACATGCCCAGGTTGCCGTCCCAGTGTAGGGCATACAGGAGGCAGCCGATTGATGATTCTCTCTCATCATTGATGTTTTTCTCTCTTTCTCTCCTTTCCTCTCTGAAATAAAAAGTATTTAAAAAAAGAAAAGGAGAGATTAAGAGAGAGAGAGGAGTCAAATGGGTAATTATGGACATTAAAATAAAATAACAAATTTCATATAGAAATGAAGATATCATTTGGTAGAGGCCTACTTTAATCAGAAATAGCATCATGATGAATACAATCCAACATTGTGATTTGATTCAGAAATTTAGTTGTTTCAAATGTCTAAAGAACTTCCAAGTGTTACATGTTAGAAAAAAGTTGTTTTAACATGTACTTGATTGTACATGTTAATAATGGAAGTAATGTTTAAATTAGAAAACAATAGCTTGGCCCTGGCCAGGGAGCTCGGTTGGTTGGAGCGTTGTCCCCATACACCAAGGTTGTGGGTTCAATCCCCGGTCAGGGTACGTGCAAGAGGCAACCAATGAATGCATAAGTCAGTGGAACAAATGGATGTTTCCCTCTCTTTCCCCCTTCCTCTCTCTAAAAATCAATAAATAATAAAGAAAAATAAATCAACTGAATGTTGTTATATTTTAAATTCAGATAATATGAAGAGTTGCAAAGAAAATAAAGCATCCATAATCCTACCACTATGAACATGTTGACAATGTATCTATATACATAGCAATTCTTTATAAAAATGGGGTCATACTATACTATTTCATAATTTTTTAAAATTTAACATATAGGTAACTTTAGATGTCAATAAACACTTCTACATTATCATACATTTAAATGGCTGCAAAGTGTTCTATTGTGTGTGTTTATTATACATTTCAGTATTACATGGCTACTGTATACCAGGCCAGGAGCAGCATCGGTGGGCGGTGGGCCCACAAGGCTTTGCGGTATTCCTAGAGGTTGATAAGGGGAGAAGCCAGAGTGGGCCTCTGTGCTGATGCCTGAGGACAAAGCGGGCAGCCAGCTCTGACTAATTGGTGCCGAACCTGACATGGCTCATGTTCTTCGCCATCGAAGTGACCAGAGGGCTTATTTACGTTACCGGACGCACCACCTTCTAAGGCAGTGGTTCTCAACCTCCCTAATGCCGCGACCCTTCAGTACAGTTCCTCATGTTGTGGTGACCCCCAACCATAAAATTATTTTCGTTGCTACTTCATAACTGTAATTTTGCTACTGTTATGAATCGCATGTAAATATCTGATTTGCAGGATGTATTTCATTGTTACAAATTGAACATAATGAAAGCATAGTGATTCATCACAAAAACAATATGTAATTATATATGTGTTTTCTGATGGTCTTAGGCGACCCCTGTGAAAGGGTCGTTCGACCCCTAAAGGGGTCACCACCCACAGGTTGGCGACCCACAGGTTGAGAACCGCCGATCTAAGGGAACACCGCCTGGAGGTCTGCCAGCTCAGAATGCAACGGAAATGGATCGATCCCGAGGCGAGGCAGCCCCAGGACCGAGCACGGCCCGGCCACACGCCAACGCACATGCTGGTGGCCCCGGGGCAGAAGGCAGGCCACTCGCCCTCGCTGAGCAGGGGACGCTGGAGACGGCCCAGACCAGAGCCACAGACACACCAGACGCGTGACGAGCACAGCTGCAGCTGTTCAAGAGGCCTCCCCCCGCCCTTCCTCCCTCCCTCTCTCCCTCGGCTGCTCCTCGGAGCCACGAGGCGAGTCGGCAGGCAGGGCGTGGGCGGCTGTGGGCGGCCTGACAGCCAGCAGAGCCATGCAAACGGGCAGGATTCAGTTAGATCTGGGGAGAGTTGGGACAGTCCACGAAGGGTCACCCTCGTCTCAGCCTGTGGAGGAGGCAGCACCCTTCGCCTCTGCTTCACACGGAGTTTCCTGCAAGAAGATCCTGAATATGCTCCACTTAGGAGACACGGTTCTAAAAACACCGAGAGGGAAGCCCTCAGCGGGATAGTAGTTCAGAAAATGTGATTTAAAAAGAACATTTAAAAAAAAAATCAAGGCTGTAAAGTCCGTACAGGAGTCACAAGAGTGCAACCAGCTGGAAAAACCTAGCGATTTAATTTCCTGGAAAAATGCAGCCAGAGTGCCAACCGCGGGAGCAGAGGCCAGTGACGCGCATGGCAGGTGCGACCCAGTGAAGTCCGCCTGCAGGGACGCATGTAAGTCAGGCGATTGGGGACATCAGCTGTTCCAGGGGGACCGGGAGCAGGCCCGGGCCGACACCACACTCCCAAGGCTGCGGACAGGGCCGTCCGATGGCACGTGGCCCGGCCGTGGCCCCTGTGTCCCTGGCGCAGGACTAGAAGGGCCGCTCGGCTCCAGTGCTGCTCGGACAGCGCAGGACAAACTGCCACAGAGGGGCCTGATCTTTTTCAAACCACCACTGTCACTTACGACACTAGTTCCCCGCATAAGCTGGTGAATATTAGAAACATGGATGTGTAAATGCAAGACATTCCCATTTCTTAAAAATATTATACTGAGTATAGATATAGATATAGACAATATATAAAATTGTTGTTATTGATTTCAGAGAGGAAGGGAGAGGGAGAGAGATAGAAACATCAATGATGAGAGAGAATCACTGATTGGCTGCCTCCTGCACGCCCCACACTGGGGATGGAGCCCACAACCCGGGCCTGTGCCCTTGACTGGAATCGATCTGTGACCTCCTGCTCCCTAGGTCAACGCTCAACCACGGAGCCACGCCGGCCGGTGGAAGAGAAGAAGAGCTGCTCGCCAAGGCCAGCCTGGGGCCGCCTGGGAGGTGAGCCAGGTGCCGCCCACCTTCCTGATGAGGGTCACCTCCGCCCCGGAAGTGGTTCTGCAGGGAGGCCCAGCCTGAGGGTCTGCGGGCAGCGCCAGGGCTGCAGGTCCACGGGGGCCTGGTCAGGCTCCTCTCCAAGGCCCCGTGGCTTCCAGGCGTCCTTCCAGCTCCCAGGTGTCACCCACTCACCTGGGGAGGCTGTGGCGCGTCCGGGAAGAGAAGCGGCCGCCACGCTGGTTTTGCATCTTTAAGGACGCTGGGCGCCCTGGGCCTCTCCTCGACTCTCGACTCTCTCAGAAGAAACAGCCCACGTCCCACAAAGCCATATCCTGGCGGTGGACACAGAAGCCCAGAGAGAGGTGGGTGTGGAGGCCGCAGAGGCGGGTGACAGGCAGCTGGCAGGGCCTCCACCTCGGGGAATAATTCTGACGAATTTGGGAGTTCACGGCTGCTGGGCAATAAGGAGTTAAGGTCAGAAAACGGGGTTGGGGGTCTCTGAGGCTGAGGATGGCTGAGGTGGGTCCAAAGGTGGTGACTAGATCAGAGTTTGGAGGGAGGTCAGAGGCAAAGGAAAATGAGGAAAGGTTTTGTAGAAGAGACTGCGCAGATAGATTCTGGAGAACAGCGTTATCACTCGGCCAGCGTGGCTCAGGGGTTGAGCGTCGACCTATGAACCAGGAGGTCACGGTTCCATTCCCAGTCGGGGCACATGCCCAGGTTGTGAACTCCAGCCCCGGTCAGGGGTGTGCTGGAGGCAGCTGGTCCATGATTCTCTCTCATCATTGATGTTTCTATCTCTCTCTCCTCTTCTCCCTTCCTCTCTGAAATCAATAAACATATATATATTAATTATATTAGCCCTAGCCGGTTTGGCTCAGTGGATAGAGCATCAGCTTGCAGACTGAAGGATCCTGGGTTTGACTCCAGTCAAGGGCACATGCCCGGGTTGCAGGCTCGATCCCCAGTGTGGGGCGTGCAGGAGGCAGCCGATTGATAATTCTCTCTCATCGCTGATGTTTCTCTCTCTCCCTCTCCCTTCCTCTCTGAAATCAATAAAAATATATATATTTAAAATTACATTAAATACTGACAATGTGGAAGTCACGGAAAGCGGAAGGACTCTCAGCAGGCACTCTTCTCGGAGCGCAGGAGGAGGCAGGCCTGCTGCTCTGAGATGCCCACGGCTCGGCGTCCTGCCGCGGTTGGAATGCACTCACATCTGATGCTTCAGAGCTCCACGTGGTCCCTGCTATTCTCAGCTTTGCCCGTGAACTAAATTTAGAACTAGGCTGACATTGCCTCTCACTCGGTGACAGTCTGACCCGGGGTTCACTCACTCAGAGCCACGCTCGACACGGGTCCCCTTGCCATACCCTCAGCTGATCACCGCCAGCGTGGGGCATGTCAGCTTCTGTCACCGCCGATGATGGTAAGTCTTTTTGAAAAAATGTTTTTTCTCCTCCTTCACATATAAATAGGTTGCTGCTGCTGATGGTGCCTTTACTGTGCCTGTGTTGGCCAGAATGTACACCTGAACTTGGAACTGGATCTAAACGACTCTGGGGGTTCCTGGTCGCTCCTGTGATTGTCCTTCTCTGGAGGGTTCAGGAGCGTTTGCTTTGAGGTTGTATTTCTCTCCTTTTGACTTTGGGAAGCTGAGGTTCCCGGTCTCGGCACTGCCGTCCTCGCCTCGGCCAGGCACCGCGCTGGCCTGTCAGGAGATAAGCAAGGAGGAGACCGCAGTCCTAGGGAACGTGGCCGCACTGTTACCGGACAACTGATGGTGCCCCACGTTGACGGCAGATGAGGAAATGAATGAGCCCATGCAAATCCAGTAAAACGCACATTTACATGTAGATACTTGGGATTTTAATAAATACTTTGTTGTCTGATAGGCAAATACTTCAGACTGGCTCACCTCTGAGACAAATTGCAGATTGATTGTGATAGAGCTGGGTGGTGGGATTCTAAGCATTTGTATCCCAAGGTTTCTACGTGGCACAAGATCCCGCAAGCTCCCCTGTGTGGGTTCTGCGGGCGTTGCTTAGAAACAGGGACCCTCCCCTTAGGGTTTTCTGCATATTGGCAATTAGTTATCAATTATTTGTCTGTCTTGGTCTCTCTTACCACACATACTGCATACTTCTCCTTTAAAGAAATCAATCATGTAGAGGCAATTAATAATGAAAAGCAGCCCTAGCTGGTTTGGCTCAGTGGATAGAGAGTCGGCCGGCAAAGTGAAGGGTCCTGGGTTCGATTCCAGTCAAGGGCACATGCCTGGGTTGTAGGCTCCATCCCTGGTAGGGGTCGTACAGGAGGCAGCCTATAAATGATTCTCTCTCATCATTGATGTTTCTCTCTCTCTCTCTCCCTCTCCCTTCCTCTCTGAGATCAATAAAAAATATATTTAACTATATATAGAAGCCATTTGATCATGATGTACTCAGTGAGCATTCTGAAATGCATTTCTTTCCTCCTCTGGTACCATCAGGTACTTTCTGAGACGCACCTGTGATCCCGCCATCTAAACCTAAGGAAGCTGGGGACTCTGTGACAATGTGGAGAAACCATGTCAGGGAACGGGGTTTGCGCCGGGGCTGTCAACGCCGTGAAGGAAGTGTGGGAGAAGAGGATACAGATACTCACGGAAGACCTGAAGCGAGAGAAGGAGTTTAAACAGAAGTAGGCTATCCTTCCTTTATTCTTTCGAATGAGCGGAAATTCATGGCGTCCTTATAGGAAAGAGCATTTGTTACAGGCCTTAGTATTGAATTTGATAGAGATGTTTATTTATTGAAACCTCAACACATACCCAAAGCAGACACCCGACTCAATCAAGAGTGGCCGTGTGACGGGGGCTCAGAAAACACAAGGTCTCTCTGTGAGAACCCTAGTTCTCCTGGGTCCCCAGAGGACTCTGCTCAACATTCACCAAAGTTTGATGAGTACCATTTAGTCTACTTGTCAGTGATTGTTTGCTCAACACCGTATCCCTTAAGGTCTAAAGCAACATCTGGCCTGGCCAGCGGGGCTCAGTGGTTGGGTGTTGATCTATGAAACAGGAGGTCACGGTTTGATTCCCGGTCAGGGCATATGCTTAGGTCAGTGATGGCGAACCTATGACATGCGTGTCAGAGGTGACACGCGAACTCACTTTTTTGGTTGATTTTTCTTTGTTAAATGGTATTTAAATATGTAAAATAAATATCAAAAATATAAATCTTTGTTTTACTGTGGTTGCAAATATCAAAAAATTTCTATATGTGACATGGCACCAGAGTTAAGTTAGGGCTTTTCAAAATGCTGACATGCCGAGCTCAAAAGGTTCGCCATCACTGGCTTAGGTTGAGGGCTGGATCCCCAGGGCGGGGCGTGCAGGAGGCAGCCAATCAATGACCCTCTCATCATGATGAGAGCTGTTCCTCTTTCTCTCCCTTCCTCTCTGAAATCAATGAAAATATATTTTAAGAAATAAAACAACATCTAGCAGAAGGCTCTGTAGACTCTCACCTATTTCAATAGCAGTGAGCTCCAGCCAGGGCCTCCAAGAATCCCCTGACTCCTAGATTTGGCTATATATTTTTTTAAATATATTTTTATTGATTTCAGAGGGGAAGGGAAGGGAGAGAGATAGAAACATCAATGATGAGAGAGAACCACCGATCAGCCGCCTCCTGCACACCCCACACCGGAGACCAAGCCCACAACCCGGGCATGTGCCCCTGACCGGAATCGAACCCGGGACCCCTCAGTTCACAGTCCGACGCTCTATCCACTGAGCCAAACCAGCCAGCCAGGGCTAGATTTGGCTATATTTAAGTCGTTTGGTTCTCCTCTGCCTTCTCGGTATCTGCCTGCTTTCCCCACTGAATGTCTCCCGTGCTCTGCTATTCTTGCAAGAAGAGCCCTTTTCCTCGCTGATTCCCCATAGCTCCACTCCTCAGCTCTCTTTCTAAGCATCACACGGTCTTGCGTTAGTTACCAAATAACCGAAAATGCAACCGAAAATGGCATGAGGGGGAAGGAAGTCCTGAGGCGAGGCACTTGCAAAACGCCAACAGCCTTGTAGAGTCGGCTTCTCTTGTCACCTTCCACTGCCCGTCTCCGCTGAGCTCCCCGAAATGTCACAGGATGACTACACTCCCAGGCCTCACGGCCGGGCGCCAGAGAAGAGAAGGGAAGAATGGAAACTATTTCTATTTCTTTATTGGCCAGGATTGGGTCATGTGTACACCTCTCATCCAGTTACCTTCTTGGGAATGAGATTGTATGATTGATTCAGACAAATTACGGCTTACTGGTATACCTGGGTTACTTGGGGGAAGTGTAGACGGTTGAAAATAACAGGTATTCTCCCAGCAAAGAAGAGGAGGAAAAGATTATTGATAAGCCACTACAGGTGTCTGATCACTGTCCCTAAAAGCATGGAAAGGGGCCATTCTCCCAACCCAACCCAAGCCAGGAGAGAGAATGATGCTGCTGACAGTGATGAGGGCGGCAGCCCTCGCTGTGCACCCACTGCTCCCGAGGCACGCTGTGAACTGTGTATTTGCACCCCCTCACGTGATCCTCTCACCATGCTGAACCACAGCCTCCCCTGAGGAGGAAAACCGGCATCCTAGTGCCTTACACCAGAATGTCCACTTTTCCGGGTGACGGGACCCAGGGCTGGAAGAGCAGCCACTGAGTCACATCTCCGGCGTCTACCTTGTTGCTCAACTGTGCGTGGCTTTCATTCCTGCAGTCACCCCAAGGCCCCAAATAGAAACACCAACTGCAGCCAGGGGATTGGACTCCGGCCAGCGGGCAAATGCACTCCCTGCTCCTGCCAGCACCCCATGGGCCAAGGCTTCCCATGACGCGTATCTGGCTGCAAGGGGGGATGGCCAATGACATCTGTGCCCACTTACATTTAGAGGATCTGTTCCTGAGGAAGAAGAGGGGTAAGGATACTGGGACGATAAGCAGTCACTGTCACCCATGGGTCCTATTATTTTCTCCATTTTCAAGGTGGGAAACCCGAGGGACAGGCCTCAGTCCCTTGTCAAAGATCACGTTGCTAACAAGTGTGGAAGCGGTATTCACACTCACGCAGTCCGACGCCCTGTGCATGACCTCGACCCAGGTCTCCCACTTCTCTAGGTTGGCTTTGTCTAGGGAGCTACTCTAGAAACCCCTTCTTTAGAGTACACACTTCTGATCAAGTTGACTTTACTGCACTCGTAATAAATCCTTCTCGTTTTTAAAACAATGGCCAGGCATCATGGTGTGGTTCTAAACTCTTGAATTTCACCTATGACCTGGGTCTTGTCAAGAATCATTTATTGCAGCAGCTCTGAGTTCTCTCTGTGCAAGAGTAAGGAGTGTGAATTACTAGTATTTTCCCCTACCCTGTCTTCTTTTTTGGCTTCATGACTAGATTGTGATGGGGAGGGAAGACTATGTTAGTCAAATGTAAATTCTAAAAGTTGTTACGCACCCCTCCTCCATCACTAAAGTTACATCTAGACTCCTCTCTGGCCTTACTTAGGTCAGTCCCTGGGGACATTCATTCATTCATGCACCAAACTGACCGTCACCTGGCCTGAGCACCAGGGGGCGCTAAGGATAAACCACCCCCAGATTCTGCCCTGGGGTTACAGACAACACTTATGCTAACAGCTATAATTACTATATGCCATATTAAAGGTTTCTGACCATCTTTAGGGGAAAAGAAAATCAGATTCCATTTGATAAATTTAGGGAAAATGCCTCTCTTTTTTTCACACCTAGACCAAAATTAGTTTTTAGTTCTAGCTAGAATCTTTACTTGGAATATTTGCAAAATGTAATCTTCTCTTAATTTTAATCTTAAAACAATTTCATTGTCAATCAGGAGCTCAGCTGTTCAGTCTAGAAGGCCACACACACCGACATTCCCTTGTTAGCTGATTAGTTAAATCTTAGGCAAGTCGCAGATGAAAATATACAGACTCTGCAGAAATATTTCAAACACAAAGAGCAAACATTACACTTTTAGAGATATTTGGGTTTCTGTGCATTAAAATAAAACCCTTGCTGAAGATCAGTTAATAGGCAAAACTGTTAAGAATATATCTTGCCTCCCAGATGTCAAGAGATTTTGGCCAAGAAATATTCAAATGTTTTAAACCTCCATTCTCTCATGACTGCTTCAGTGTTTTGGATTAGATGGTTGCACAGCTCTGTGCATATACCCAAACCGCCGAGTTGCACTGTAAAAGGGTTCGGTTTATGGCACTAAGCTATGTCTCCATAAAGCCGCTAGAACAAATTCATGGGGAGTTACGATACTTTTCAAAGACGTAAAAACAAAGCATTTGTGATACTGATCATATTTAACATCCTTACAAAATAAGTTCTTGTTTGCTCTCCAGACACAGCTGATCAGTTGTTTTTGAAGGGCCCTCCTTGATAGGAGAGTGAATGCTCTGGCTAACATCCAGTGTCGTGTCTGCTCTGACCGGTTGAATAGGAAGGTGAGTGTGGCCTCTGTCCTGGCCTGTGAGCTAAGGGACTCCCTGTCTCCCAGGCTCGTGCGGATCTGGGAGGAGCGGGTCACCTTGACGAGGCTGAAGGAAAAGGTCACCAGGGAAAACGGCCGAGTGATTTTGAAGATAGAGCAGGAGGAGTGGAAGGTAAGCAGGGCAGGAACACTCGGTGGTTGGTCCACATTCTGCTTTCCGCAGGAGGAGGATTCTGAGACTGGGTCATTCAGACTGGAATTAGTTAAGGAAATCTAATTTTAATAACATGCCCAAAGGAATGAACAGCTGAAAAGAAATATAATGTCACGGTTTGTGTGTGTGTGTGTCTGCAAAAACTCAATTTGCTTCTCCTCTGCGTCAACTTAAATCATTTGTAGTATTTCTTCTTCTAATCCTTTTCAGAAGTAATTTCTCATTTTTTAAAAATAAAGGATGACCATCTGCCTAATGAAAATCACATAGCGTTTCTAGAGCAAATAACTCAGTTAAAACTTCACAAAATGGAAATGGATATTGTTTTATCAGGTCCAGCGACTCTCATATACACACACAGGCACACACGTGCGTGCACACACACAGCCCCCCAAAAAGTGAGTAACATAAAGCACTGGAAAGATCACCCACTTCCCAAGGTTCGTTCACAGATGCAACAATTCCTCTACAACCCCACTTCCGTGCGGCAGGACAGGGAGTGATGGAGTAACACCCTGTCTTTCCTTTCTCTCGACTCAGACCCTTCCTTCTTCTCTCCTGAAACTGAATCAGCTACAGGAGTGGCAGCTGCACAGAACTGGTTTGTTGAAAATCCCTGAGTTCATCGGAAGATTCCAGAACCTCATTGTGTTAGATTTATCCCGAAACACGATTTCAGAGATACCCCAAGGGATAGGTAAGGAATGTGCTGTCTTACCCACCCGCAGGTATGCTTTCCATTAGATTTTTGTTTGAGGCCCCGGCCGGGTAGCTCAGTTGGTTAGAGCATCATCCCCATACGCCAAGGTTGAGGGTTTGATCCCTGAATGAATGCATAGATAAATGGGCCAACAAATCGACGTTTCTCTCCCTCTAAAATAAAAAATCGTACATTAAAAAACAAACAAACCTGGTTTTTGTTTAATACGTGAAATAAAGATCTCATCGTCCCATAGCCCTTGAGAAAATTTTAAACATTCTACGTTCTGAGGGGATCCATGCTCCTGGGTTTACTGAGGTGATTTAGGAGGAGAGATCCATGCAGAGAAGTCTCTTCAGAAATGTAATTGTATAGATTCTAAAACCAATATTCCTGGTTCAGTAATTCCTCCTTGAAGGAGACAGTGTGGAGGCAAGAAAGGAAATTAGAAAGATCACTTAGATCTGGCCGGTTTGGCTCAGTGGATAGAGTGTTGGCCTTCAGACTAAAGGGGCCGGGTATGATTCTGGTCAAGGGCACATGCCTGGGTCGCAGGCTTGATCCCCACTAGACTAGAGGGCATGCAGAAGGCAGCCTATCCATGATTCTCTCTTATCAATGATGTTTCTCTCTCTCTCTCTCTCTCTCTCTCTCTCTCTCTCTCTCTCTCTCTCTCTCTCTTCCTGCACGAGGCAGCCAGTCAATGATTCTCTCCCATCATTGATGTTTCTTTTCCCCCACTCCTCTCTGAAATCAATAAAAATACTTAAAAAAAAAAAAGGAAAGATCACTTAAAGGAGAAAGGAAATCCCCAAAGTGAAAATTGGTCAGGATATAGTATAGATAAAACGGGATGAAAAAAATATGTTTTTGCCTGAAGCACTGGTACACCAGCCCCTTATCTGGGAAGAGTTAACAACTTGTCAACTGTGAATATATCAACATAAAACTGGCAAGTTCTTTTTTTAAAAGTATATTTTTGTTGATTTCAGAGAGGAAGGAAGAGGGAGAGAGATAGAAACATTAATGATGAGAAAGAATCCTGGATCGGCTGCCTCCCACCCATCCCTCACTGGGGATCGAGCCTGCAACCTGGGCATGTGTCCTGACCGGGAATCGAACCGTGACCTCATGGTTCATAGGTCGAAGCTCAACACTGAGCCACACCGGCCGGGCCTGGCAAGTTCTTAATGTGTAATACTTCCCAACGAAACATTGTCCACCCCCCTGGTCTCACTGTGCACTTTTTCGTAGGGCTGCTTACTAGACTTCAGGAGCTGACTCTTAGTTACAACAAGATCAAGACGGTCCCCCCGGAGCTGAGTAACTGCGCCAGCTTGGAGAAACTGGAACTGGCTGTCAACAGAGACATCTGCGAGCTCCCTCCGGAGGTCAGGGGAGTGTGCCGGCGACGCCGGTTCCCATCTGCTAATGGGTTGCTTCTCTCAGGGGTGGGGTCATTCCAAGCAGCACCAGTAAAGAAATGGTACCCATTTTCTTCCAGGGAATGTGTAGTGAAAGCCGTTTCCTGTTATTGTAAGTAAGAGGCATTGTTTAAACAAGAGAAACCTCCGCTTAGCATAAGATACTTCTGTTACTGTCACAGTACTCACATCCTCCATTGACCAGGCTGTGATCCACCTGAAGGCCAGAGTGAGTCTTACTGATTCCTATTCCTGGAGGCGAAGGCACAGCCTAGGATGTAGTTAATAATAAATGCGTATCGAATGAATGAATCATCATCATGAAGCACAATGTGTTGACAGAAAAAACTCTTTGGTAACTAGTTGGTTGTAATAGAGTGCCCAGGTTGTTTTTAAAAATATATCTTTTTATTGATTTCAGAGAGGAAGGGAGAGGGAGAGAGAGAGATAAAGGAGAGGGTCCCATTAAAGATTATTTTGAATTTGAGCTTTCCCATGCCAATCTCCGCTCCTGGACGAAAGGAAAGCATGTTTGCTGTGAGAAGGAACAGCCGTCCCTCCCGGCAGGTCTGCGAGGCCTGGGACTGGGTCTCTTCGGGACAGACTTTCCTGGGAGTAGATGAGCTTCCGTGGGAGAGGGCCCCATGCTGGCGGTCACTTCGGTTTACTTAGATTTCCACGCTGAGGACATCGAGCCCACGCCTGCGGGGGCTCTCCTCGCTGTAGCGGAGCTCCCTCGCCAGGGGCGTGTCCAGTTATTGATTTCACTGCGGGACCCTCACTGCGGGACCCTCACTGCGGGGCCCTCGCTTGTCTCCCCAGCTCGGCCGCCTGACGAAGCTCACCCACCTGGACTTGAGCATGAACAGCTTCACCGCCATCCCCGCCGCCGTGCTGAGCATGCCCGCCCTCGAGTGGCTGGACCTGGGGAGCAACCAACTCGAGCAGCTCCCCGACGCCATAGAGAGGTAAGGCAAGCAGCTTCTATTCCACACTGAGTTCAGGGAGGAAGGAGGGAGAGAGAGAGAGAGACATCAGTGAGGAGAGAGAGTCACGGATCGGCTGCCTCCTGCACGCCCCCTACTGGGGATCGAGCCCGCAACCCGGGCATGTGCCCTGACCGGGCATTGATCAGTGACCTCCTGGTTCATCGGTCCATGCTCAACCACTGACCCACACCGACCAGGCAAGCAAACAACTTTTAATGCTACCAACGGGTGTGATGAAGTAACCTAGGATGAGAAATAACAAATAAAATGAAGGGGGCCCCAAGCATAAGCACAGTAGATACATCTAGTTCTAACTGTGCTACCATTTAATAGAAGAGTTTCATTTATTCCAAAAAAAAGAAAAGAAAGTAAAATAGCAAAACGTGGCTACCTGGCTTCCGCAATGTGACGAGAACATGCTGCAATGGTGACAACATTGCTTAGCGCATGCCGCACACTTCTGTGCACTTTAGGAGTGGACGAGGAAGCTGGGCTGCTCAAGGTCACAGTCAGTGTGCGATCCGGGACTTGAACCCAGGTTGCCTGCCCCAAGAGGCTATAGTGTTAACCACATACACACTTCCTTTGCCCGCTGATTCCGATTCGATCCCATTTACAGCAGGCCTTCTTTAAGAAAGTCTATGAGAGCAGTGAAGAAATCTAGAATACACTGATCTCATTTCCACTCCCGCACCATGACGCTGCCCTGTAGGGATGAACTCCCCAATGCCGTTCCCTTATAAGCAGGTGAGGTGAGGTGAGTTCACTCGATCAGTATGCTGGCTAGTGGAGATGCTACAGAAGGTGACATTTCTTTGTTGAGTTCCTAAGAACCAGGGTGTCCATATTGTGTGCGATCGACTCATCGCAGAAACCTCTTTTAATTCTTCAGGATGCAGAGTCTGCACACGTTGTGGCTGCAGCGGAATGAAATCGCCTGCTTGCCCGAGTCCATCAGCAGCTTGAAAAACCTGGGCACGCTCGTTCTCTGCAACAACAAACTGCAAGACATCCCGGCGTGCATGGGCGAGATGCCCAGCCTGAGGTAAAGATTCCCCACACCGGACTGGCACGCTCCTTTCTGGCTGCGGAACAAAGCCACACAGAGGAATCACTGCACATCGGAGTTCTCCTTCAGATGAATACACCCATTTCAAAGACGTGTCCAGCTTTGAAACTCTAGTTTACAAATCGGATGCATATAATACCGAGTCCATAAAACTAAAGCCGTGCTGGGATTTATCAGCCTCAAGGAATGCCCTATATTTTTTATATGTTTTTATTGACTTTTAAAGAGAGAGGAAGGAAGAGGGAGAGGGAGTAACATCGATGAGAAACATCATCAATCGGCTGCCTCCTGCACGCCCCATTCTGGGGATCAAGCCCACAACCCAGGCATGTGCCCTGATCCCGAGATCTCTTGGTTCCTGGGTCAATGCTCAAACACTGAGCACACGGCCAGGCAAGGAATGCCCTCTGTTGGTGACGTTTTCATGAAATCGCCTAAGTTCATTACTATTAAAACTCCTTTGGTATCTTCCTCCCAAAATTTAACTTCTTGGCAGTGAACATAAGACATGAGAATTCATGCCAAATCCCACGTCTGTAACAAAACCATTCATTCATTCATTCACATGTGCAGCGACTACCAAGGTCTGTACCAGATGGTGAAGTTACGATGATAAAGACACAAACAAGTCTATAAAATACGCATATTTTAAGTTCATTGCGTTCATTGTACAGATAAAGCAGGCTTTCTGTTAGATGGCCTGGCTCAAGTGCAGGCGAATTCCCATGTTCTGAGCATGTGTCAGGTCGGCCAGGTGAAGCTATCCTGTGCAGTAGCTTCGGGGAATTACATGCATTTTCGGCTGACTTTCAAGTTACAGTGGGTCTATCGGGACATAACCCCACTGTCAGGTGGAGGAGCCTCTGTGTGTTTGAGATGCATTAGGAATGCCCTGGGAAGTCCCACTGCTCCACATTAAATCCATGCTGCTAACAGTTGCTTGCTTTTATTTATTTTAAAATGTTTTTATTGATCTTAGAGAGGGAGAGGGAAAGAAGAGGGAAAGATTGATGAGAGAAACATCCATCAGCTGCCTTCTGCACGCCCTCTACTGGGAGGAGTCCTCACTCTGGGCATGAATCTGTATGCCAGTAGCTCACTGAACCCTGACCAGTCGAACCTGTGTTGAACCAGTGACCTTTCCTGCACTGAAGGATGCCCAACCGAGTCACACCCGCAGGACTAGCAGTTACTTTTCCGAGCTCTGGAAATAAGTTGTCTCCAGCTGGTATTTTTTTCTTCAAGAAAGAAACTTAAAGATTCTTGGGCTATGTCACATCTCACCAAGATGCCCAGTCATTGGGACCAGCTAGAAAGAGTTGTTTATAACAGCGGTCACCAACCAGTGGTCCGTGGGCCACTGGAGGTCCAGGAGGTCCGAAAGGCTGGCAACTGCTGGTTTATACGATCATCATTGCTCTGTCTCCAGGGAAGTGCACACTCCCACGGCACCTGTAAACCCTGGTTTCTGGCACTCTGCTAGGTTTGTCAACTTCAGAGACAACCCGCTGAGACTGGAAGTGACCCTTCCCGCCCCTGAGAGCACTGAGGAGGAGGAGGAGCAGGAATTATTCGGCCTCCAGTTCATGCACACCTACATCCAGGAGTCCCGGAGACAAGCAGGTATGCGACTGGTGCTTCCACAGGTTCCGTATTCCTTCTGGTGGAGGAGTGTTTACATTCATGAACTCTTTTGTGGATTTCTTCTATCTTTTTAAAACATGTTTTTATTGATTTTAGAGCGAGAGGAAGGCAGAGGGAGAGAAACATCGATGGGAGAGGAACATCCACCCGCTGAACCTGCAGGTTCCGCAGGTGAGGAGCAGCTAGGTGCACGTCACACGTCGGTCAGGATGCTAAGGGAAATGAACAGGGTGGGGGAAAGCTGCGATTGACCTACGGCTGGCATGCTGAAGGGCAATCGTTACTCCCCATAGAGAACTAGGTACCCGTGTCGGAAATGTAAATGGACCACAAGACTGTGTCAGTGATTCTCGTGTGTGTGTAAATGTTTTATGAAACTTAAGTGATTGTGCCTCCTATAGCATAATCACTTATTTCCGGGCATGAGGTGTTGAGTGGTACAAAACAGATGGTGTGACGTAAATGAGCATTGTCTGACCCAGTGTATCAGGTTAATTATTGAATGACTAGTAGCCCTGCGCATGAATCTGTACACCAATAGCTCACTGCCGCCCTCCTGTAGCTCCCCCCTCCCCCCTGCACCCCCCTCATGGCTTGCTGCCCTGCCCCCTCCTGTTACTCTCCGCACCCGGTTGTACCTTGCTGGCCCACCCTCCTGCTGATCCATGACCTGGTCGTGATGCGCTTGGTCGTTATGCCTCAGGGCATAATGGCTAATCAGCATATTCCTCTTATTATATAGGATGTATTATCTTGATTTATATTTCCTTGAATGGGGGGCACATGAGTAACTAACTTAAAATAGAATCAAACTACCTTACTTTAATAATATTTTGCATACAACTTATAACGAGAAAAAGGTTGTAACTTAAACAGTCAATTCAACCAAGTCTGTTTATTATTTATTGAAATGATGAGATTCATGAACTAGCACTATTTCTAACAGTTACTATTCATGGAGTACCTACTCTGTGCTCCGACCATTCTAAGCATTTTACATTCATAATCTCGTCTGATGCTCACAACAACCTTGCGAGGTGGGCTTTATTATTGCCATCACCCCCATTTTAAGAGGAAATGAGGCACAGAGATTAGGTGGCTTGCCCAAGGACACACAGCTGAGAGGAGGTAGGCTTGGGATTCGAACCCATGCAGAAACCCTTCAGTTTCACAAAACATGAGATTACACTAAAATAGAAAAGTCAGGAATTAAAAATAGGCTGTTTAATTTACAATTCATGTAACCACAGACCTATAAAAAAGTTTCCTAAGAATATCACTAATCCAAAACTAGTAATTCTGAATCTCTGTCTTGGCAAACGTACCAATGATTAACACATTTGTTTACAAATAAAGGCAGAATCACTCAAGGACGTGATGTGGAAAATACCAGTCGCGCCATGTGACTGGTTTAATATTGCTGTGCATAGAAACTCTTTACGAGGTAATGAGGCCTCAGCGTGAGGTGTTTGGTTTCACTACCTAATTTTCACTACACTCCAAATTCTTTTCCCAAACAAGAGAGAACACACTTATGTCTGTATTTATACATGTAAAAGTAGCCTGTTAAAGATGTGAGATAATTAACTTCAGAAGTTATTTGCAAATTTTGACTTAATTTGTGAAGTGGGCTTCTCAGTGTCTTTTTGGAAGTTCTAACTGTATAATACCCAATAGAACAAATATTTTTTTCTTCCCCTGGAAAACATCGCTTCGGTTTTGGAGTTTGCTTGGACAAATTCTGAGAATATATACACGCAGGTCTGACCCTGGAAATCTGAAGGTGAATTTATTGGTTGATTGTGAATAGCTCTGGGTCTGTTTGCAAAGGAAAAAAAGCAAACTGACTATTCTTTCCAGATCTGCTTGGAAAGAAAAACCCACACAGAAGCCAATGCGCAGGCTGCCCCTTTAGAAACTGACAGCTGATGATTATGCCTTGAACTTGAGAAATAAAAAGGACTAAATAAAACCAAGGGACAGTGAATTCCAAAATTCATGTACCTAGAAAGTGACTGTGCTAGTCCCATGGTGACCTGTTGTGTTTCAGATGCCGCAGCCGACCGTGCGACCACGCCCCCCGCCTCTACAGACCCCGACGGCTGACGGGACCCAGGCGCCTGCTGTAGTGACTTTGGTCTGGACTCTTCTCAAGTAAAAAACAAAGCTAGTACCAAAGTTCAACGAGGCACAATGTTTTTTTAAAGTTCGCATTACCTGCTATCAATGATATTTTTGTGAATATAAAAATACAATGTAGAAGGCCTTGTTTTTTGGTGGAAGACAGATGGTGTTCAGTTTCTTCTCCGTCAAGCAGTCGCATCTGCTGGTGGAGCCCGCGCGGGTAAGGCCGTGAGCAGCACGTTCTCCAGGGACACCCCCGGGTCGGCGTAGCGCTGCAGCGCGGCCCGGAAGCCCCGCCGCTGCAGGTACTCCAGGCGGCCCTGGTCAATCAGCAGCTTACACAGGCGCCCCAGCCTCTCCTTCTCCTCCGCGGGGAGAAACCTACAGCAAAGAACACACACAGCAACGCTCGCGTCTGTCAGTTTGCAACAAGCTCTTTCATGGCTCCTGTGTACAGAAGCCGCCGGTGAGCTGCCAGACCCTGGGCGCCGTGTCCCATGCTTCCCAGACACGCTCCACTTATGACCACAATGCAGACGTGAGCCTCTGAGCTGACGGCCACACACATGCTCATGAATGAACTTTGGCAGCATTCGTCTGAGAACAGAGATGATGAACAGTCCCGCCCCAGAGCTGTCCAGTTCCCCGTCACTTACCCGGGCAAAGTCCCGGCGCGGTCCTCTGGGCCTCTGTGTCCCCCGCCATCATGCTCCTCGCCGTCCTCGCTCTCGTCATCTCTTGTCCTGGGGACACCGGAGGCCTCCGGAGCAGCTGTCCGCCTCCCACACGTCGCCCAGCTACTCATGCGCTGGAAATAGTGGAACTCCAGGGCTCCCAGGCCCCGGGCCCTGAAATAGTCTTTGCCCACATAGTGTCTCCAATCGCACCTGTGGTGACAGCACAGCGCGACCACAATGCCAGCCACAGGGCTCCACTCCTCCGCCACGAGTCCTTCACCTCCGTCCTCGGCCGCAGCGTCCAGGTCTTTGTCTGCCTTACTGTTCTTTATGCGTTTGGCCGAAGGCTCTTCGTTCCCCTCCTCACGCCTGGCACCGTACGTTTCAACCAGACAGCGCAATGCCAGATCTGCAAACACAACCACGGCCCCACGGCAGCGTCTTCCCCACGAGTCCTTTCACTTTGAGGGAGCACTCTGGCTTCTAAAACCCCAAACCAAAAGCAGCCAACCTGCTTAGCTTCCCACCAGTGATCATTCTCTTCTGAATGGCCAGCTTTGTTCGTATTTGCTCTTTTCTCATTATCGTCTCACTTTCTTGAATGATTTAGTCTACTTCCCAGTAAAACTGTCCGAAGCTTAAGGTCTAGTTTGCAAAATCTTTCAGTCCAAATCCTGGGACTGGCTCCAGGTCTCCTGCCCTGGCGGAGGAACTGCCGCGCACCGAGCAAACTCATCTCCCTACACTTACAAGCCACGGAGGTTTCCACCTCACGAAAAGCCGAAGAAAGAAATGAAGAGGCCAGGCATCCGTGTGGGCTGGCGGAGGTGCCAGTCCTAAGAGGAGAGATGGAGGGAAGACGCAGAGGGAGAACCAGGAAGGAAGAGCCACCGAGAAGCACACCATTCAAGAAGGGGAGCAGGAGGCCCTGTGTCTGATCTCAGTCGGGGCCATGAGCAGCTGAGCGAGGCCCTGTCTGCTCTCCCACGGGCAGTGCTCCCGGGCAGACCACCACGCTGTGACCACGTGACGGGAACACAGAGACACCCCTGAAATGGCGGGGCCGTGCGCTAGGACCTCGAGAGCGTGGAGACGCGATGGGTGCGGGCTTACCTGTCGCCGCGCCACACAGGTGCTTTCCGATTCCTACCACAGGCAGCCTCTCCCTGCTCAGCACGGGAATCCTGTCTGAAATAAAAGGAGAACTAAGTCAGCCCCTCGTGGGCTAAGGCCTTACGGTGCCTCCCAAACAGAGAACTAAGTAGAGTCTTTGAATTTTAGGGCTGGGAGAGACTCAAACGAAACGTTTGGACTGGGTGGTATAGGAATGAGGCTCGAAGACGCAGCGGCTGGACGAGGGGCACCGGCGGCTGTGAGCGAGCAGCGTGGCGGCTGCCTGACCGGGCCTCGCCCTCGCACCTGACGCGTGTCATGCGTGGCTGGACTTCCAAGCAACCGAGTTGGAAACGCCTATGATTTATGGGAGACAACGGAACGTTACGCAACTCACTCAAACACAGGTGTTGAATGTCGATCTGAAGTCTTTGAAACACTGAATTTTTCTTTCTGTGTTTGCCATCTACCTGCACAAACACAACATTATTATAACCATGGCTTTTCTATGTTTAAGGAAAAGCTTTATTAAAATAAACAAGTTCCATTTGTTTTCAAAATTCAGAGCAAAATCCCCTTTCATTAAGAGACATGCCCCTGGCCTACGAGGAAGTGCCAGCCCTCCGGGCACCGTGTGCGGCCGTGGTCGCTCACCTTGAACCTCGTGGGCACCTTCTCTACGAGGATGAAGTGAACTTCTTCGGCATCTTTTAAGGCAATATCAACCCAGTGAGATAATTTCCCCTTTCCTGCTCCAAACTCAACAAAGCATCTTCTTGGACCAAGTAACTTTAATTTCTCAATGTTACCTAAAATAGAAGCCTGCAAACCTCACGAGATTATTTTATAAACGAGAGCAAACACATCTGGCTCAAGCGGGAAAAACAGCAGAAGGTAATGTCTACAGAAGGCGGCATGGTCACAGGGGAGATGTCTGTGTGGCTTTACATGTTTTTCTCTTGCTTTGTTTTTAAATATTTAACACGCGGTACTCAGACCCACAGTCAGGCCAAACATTTGAGTAGACGTTTACACATACTTATTAGAATGGAAGGGCTCTGTCCCTGAAAGGCACACTGAGGGAAAGCTCATTAGTAGCTATGTTTAGAAGGAACGGAATGTTAGCTTCTGACAGACCAGAGGCCATGTTCAAGATCAGCGTGGCCTACACATACCTGCTGCTTCAGGTGTTTGGTTGCAGAGTCCCCATTGTTAGGGTCATTAAGGGCATCATGCAATGCAGGATGGGACATAATTTGATCTTTAAGTGTAGAGTTCAAACCTGTGCCAAATGTAAGCACAAGAGCTTAAGCAACCAAACCTGAAGCCACAGGGCTCTGGACAGTGGTGGGAATGCCCTTACACCACGCTGGTGCCGGTTCACGTACCACCTAACTGTTCTTCAAAATCTTGAACTCGCAACTTTAGGCAGACTTACCCTCACTTGCTTTTTTCAACTTCTTAATTAAAATTTCCAACTGTTCTTCAGGAAGAGAAGAAATTGGAACCTACATACAAAAAAATGAGGGGTGAGCTGATCACTAAGAATATCAATTCTATAGAAAATGCATTCTAAATTTTAAAAAATTAACTTATTCCAAACAAAAATTGGAACGCAGCTTATTCAACGTGGAGACAGCTTATAAATACTGTTTAAAAGTAAAAAGTCCGCCCTAACCAGTTTGGCTCAGGATAGAGCGTTTGGCTCAGTGGATAGAGTGTCGGCCTGTGGACTTAAAGTTCCCAGGTTCGATTCCAGTCAAGGGCATGTACCTTGGTTGCGGGCACATTCCGGGGGGGGGGTGTGCAGAAGGCAGCTGATCGATGTTTCTAACCCTCTATCCCTCTCCCTTCCTCTCTGTAAAAAATCAATAAAATATATTTTAAAAAAAGTAAAAAGTCAAGTACTTACTAACTGTTCAGGTATTTCTGTTTCGTCTTTTAGGCCTGCATTAATATCTTGAATAAAGAAGTCCTTAACCAAAACAAAACCATAAAAATGCTGTTATTAATGTGAAGTGCTCACAGAAACTGAACTGAAAAACTGATCCTTCCCTTCTCCCCTTGTCTGAGCCTCCCTTCGACCCATTCATTCATTACACAGTTACTGAGCATCTACTATTGTCCTTCATTACACAGTTACAGAACACCTAGTGTGGTCATTCATTACAGTCACTGAGCACCTACTGTGGTCATTCATTACACAGTTACTGAGCACCTACTGTGGTCATTCATTACACAGCCACTGAGCACCTACTGTGGTCATTCATCACACAGACACTGGAAATTACTGCAGCCACTGAGCACCTACTGTGGTCATTCATTACACAGCCACTGAGCACCTACTGTGGTCATTCATTACAAAGTCACTGAGCACCTACTATGGTCCTTCATTACATAGTTACTGAGCACCTACTGTGGCCCTTCATTAGCTTTGGGTGCTGGGGATCCACCACAGGAGAGAACAGAACAAGGACCTCTGTGTTCACGGATCTTCTATCCTAGTGAGTGGTCCTGTGAACATCTGTTGTCTAGAGAAATTCATCAGTAATTTTCTATGAAGAGTTTTAACCTCACTACAGCACAGACTGAGGGCTGTGTCAGTTCTGTTCACGGCGTTAAAGCAAAAACAAAGCATCCACTATACCCATGGCTGCTGATCAGACAGGAAGCATGACCAACACCGAGGTAAGATACCGATGTCACAACAGTTTAGGTCTGATTCTTCCACCTAAAATACTAATGAAAATAGATCATCATTCTCTCTGGGCAGCCTGTCTTGGTCTCTTGGACTTAATTTTAATTTTTACGTTAAGTGTGTGTTCTTATCACATGTGCACTCCTTCCGTTGACCTTATTACAATACCCGTTCTTTACAGCTTACTTACCAGTTTCAAATAAGCCCCTTGGGGTCAACTTAATTGGAATAACCCTAGGAGGCACTAAGGAAATATTTCTGAATAAACACGTTGTGAAATCATTCTCTGAACTACACTCTGGTTGCATAAAATTCTATTATCTGAACGAGGACTCTGTCGGATACAGTGCTGGCCTTCACACATGCAAACCCAGTGACCACATTCAAGCCTCGGAGACGAGAGTTAAGTGCTCACATCTGTAATCTACTGAGTCTGTAAAACATTACACAGCACACGGTCACCATTCAGTTCTACCGATCAGCTACTTACAGGTTTGGGCTTCTCTCTTGAGTTACATTTTCTC